CCTCCCCGCTGCCCGCCTCCTCGCTACCCACACCATGGGCTTCCGTGGAAATGATAAGCGTCAGAAGCACAAGCATCAGATTCATCCTGTCTTCTTTGTAGGTAAATTGTGAGCACGAGCCACGGGCTCCACATTGGAGAAACCCTGGAGGCCGGCAGGGGCCAGGTGGGGGTGGGGCGGACCCTACGGCTTCCTCGGCTTCCTTGTCAGTCAGCCGCTGAGCAGCTGGAGGGTTACTGCCCTGCAGGGCGATTCACGGGCGGGACACAGAGTTTGTCTCCCTTTCTAGATGCTCCGAACGTAAGAGCACTTCCTGGGAGACGGCAGAGCGAGCCCCTCTATTTACTGCCTCCTCGGAGACCTCAAGACCCAGGGGCGCAGACTGCGCTATTAACCTGGTCGTTCAGTGACTCCCCAACAAAGTGCGACAGGCGCGGCCGGTGGCAGATGTGCACCGGTCTGCGGGGAGCCAGAGCCTGACGGTGACCCTGCCTCGTACCCCCAGGCCCCTGCGTCTCCCAAGTGGGTTCGCGACTCTTGTCTGGGAGGCGGACTAATTCAGCAAGTATCTGAAATGCCCGCGTTGTTACGTGGACTCTGCCCCTGTCGGCTGTGGCAGGCGGCCCTCGGCGTCCCAGGGTCCCCACCAGCGGACGCTGGATGCTCGGACTGAGCCCCGCTACGGGGAGCCGTGGGTTTCAGGGTTGTTGCGCTTGGACACTCAAGCGTGTTGGCTGGGGGCCCACCCGTGGCCTGGTTGGGGGGCTGGTGCAGCCCCAGGGGTGGCCTGCTGACCCTTCACCCCTAGCCCCTGCTTCCAGCGGTCACTGGTTCCTCTGGGCAGGGGTGAGTGCTCTAGCCGGAGCAGCCAGCAAAGGCCATGGGCTCCCGAGTCCCCTGTGTCTCCCTCCGGCCACCTCTTCTGTCTCCCAGGGTGACAGGAAAGAAGCAGGGTGTGTGCCCCAAACGTGACCCTTACAGCTTCTGCTTTACCGGATGTGGGCACGGAGGGGAAGGCATGGGGTGTGCAGAGGCGCTAGCGCAGAGCAGGACACCCCAGAGCCCTGTGGGTGCCGCCTTTGAGCCCGTCCGGTGCAGGCAGAGGCTTCATCCTACCCGACTCTCCTCTGAGGGCTCATTAGCACAAACAGGATACGGGGCTGGAGGGGGGCGTGAAAATCCCCTTTCCTTCCTGCTGGCGGTAATCCCATCGAGGGCTCCTGGGGGAGGCGGCCCAGGAATCCCCGCTTGGGTGTAGGCCAGTCCCATCCCGCTGCCCTCAAGGGACTGGGAAGGGGGTTAGTTGTTCCCACTCATTTCCATAGTAATAAAGTTGCCAGGTTCCTCTATTTGCCCCCAAACTGGTGTTGGAGGAAAATACTAACTCTACCTTTGGGGAGAAGTCAGGGAGAGCTCAGTGCCCCTCGATGCATGGAAAATTCTCAGTGCAGGTTGTCCAGAGCCATGGTGGGGGCCGCTCAGCTCCAGGGACCCGGTGGGGCGGCCGGCAGGGATCCTGAGCCCAGGCCGGAGCCGACAGTCTGTGCTGCGCCTGGTGGAAGCGTGTTCGCAACAGAGCAAAAGGCACGGTGGGCACTGGGGGTGGCCAGGAGGAGGGCCCAGGGCTCAGAGGGCACGGGTGGGAAGGAAGGGACCCCCAGGTTGCCGTCCAGCCTGCGCGCCCTGCGGGCACAGGGCTGTGCCACAGGTGTCTGTCTGGAACCCGCGCCGGGGGTCTCCCTCCATCTTGCCCCACAGTCACTTCCGTCCTTACACACCTGTGGTGCCGGCTCTTCGTCGGGGAAAGGCCTGCAGAGTTTCATTTTAAAATACATTAAGAAAAGAGGTGCCTGGGTGGCTCAGCTGGTTGGGCGGCTGCCTTCGGTTCTGGTCATGGTCATAGGGTCCTGGGATCGAGTCCCGCATCCGCCTCCTCAGTCTGTGGGGAACCTGCTTCTCCTTCTCCCTCTGCCTGCCCTCCCCCTGCTCCTGCTCTCACTCTCAAATAAGTAAAATCTTAAAAAGAAAATACGTAAAAAAACAACAACCCAATCTACGGAAGACACGGAGTAAATAATATTTGGGTAGTGGGGCTGGAATGCAGCCTGGGCAGACCGAGCAGGAGACTGGGAATTCGCTGGCACCTGGTGTGGGCAGCAGGGAGACGTAGCAGTCTTGACCAGGGGAGGCAGGAGGACAGGGCTGTCACCCGGGACTGGGGTCCCTCTGGGGGGCGTCGAGCGGAGAGACGCCACCAAGCCAGAGAACAGGAAAAGGAAGGGTTTTCCCCTCAACAAGGAAGGAGAGCACCGGGGCGCCTTCCCAAAGCGACAACCACACCGGCGGGGGAGGGGTGTGAGCCGAGGGGGCGGCCAGTCCCCAGGGCCTTGCGCGGACGGCGCTCCGCGTGGAAGCGGGCAGAAGGCGTCCGAAGGTGACCGAGCGCAGGGCCGCGTCACGAGGCCGGCCCGGGTCGGTGCCGTTGGTGCTCTGGCTCCGGCGGGTCCCGGACCTGAGGGCTCACAGGGTCCGGATGCTGCAGGGCTCGTCCAGGGTCCGTCTTCCCTTCGAACCAGCCCTGGGGGTTCGTGCCCCTGAGCCACTGTCCCTCGTGTGACGAGGTTCTCTCCTGCCTGATGTGGCTGCTTGTCCTTCTCTGCTCCCGCGGGACGGCCGGGGGCCTGAAATGACTTTTCTTATGTCCCAAAAGCTGTGTCTGTCTGTCTGTCCCCGGGAACCCCCAAGTCTCTGCCCACAGGGCCGGAATGGTGGTTTAGCCCAGGCCGTGGGGAGCAGCCTGCAGGGAGGACCTCCGGGCCCTTCGAGGGGGTCCCGCGGGCAGCCTGCGGGGAACCTGTCGACGGGCAGCCTGGGCTCCCTCCCGCCACGGAGACGCTGCCCTGGCCCCCCACAAGCTTTTCTTTTTAAAAATTTATTTATTTGTTTGAGAGAGAGAGAGCACGAGAGCAGGGGGAAGGTGGAGGGAGAGGGAGAAACAGGCTCCCCGCTGAGCAGGGAGGTCGAGGCAGGGCTTGATCCTAGGACCCTGAGACCCATGATCTGAGCCGAAACTAAGAGTCGGACACTCCGCCCACTGAGCCACCCAGGCGCCCCCCACCCAGGCGCCCCCCTCAAGAGCTTTTGATGACCAAGACAGGAACTGGGGGGCTTTTAACTTTCTGCACTTTTCCTCTCCCAAATGGAAACCCGCCATTCCACATCTCCTGACCACCCCCCCCATGAATGCCGTGGCAGAGGCCACGCCGTGGACGATGGGACACTAGCTCATGTGGCCAGTCGGAGCAGCCAGGACGCTTCTTCTTCCAAAGCTGCTGCTTCATCTGTTTCCGTGAGCAGAGCCGCGTCGGCCACGCTTCAGGCTCCTGTTGTCCGCGGTCAGCACCCAGAGGTCGCCCGGACATGAGGGGGTCCTGCGGCTGATGAGAAGCCCCGGGACGGCCCCACAGCATCGGCCGGTGGGGCTGGGGGCCTGCATGTGGGCCTGCCCTCAGCAGACGCAGCTCTGTGGCTTTGCCGGTGGGAGCAGTGACCCTGGGGTCTCTCGGCCCCGCCGGTGAAGACTTTAAGGGAAACATCCTTGCAATCGGGCAGAAAACCCTTTACACAGAGCTGGAAAATCTACAAAATGGCCCCAGGTTGACTCTGCAAATGTAACCGAGAGCTTAGGCCTCGGCCCCTCCCCTCCACCAGGCGAGTCCTTCATCTCCGGGCAGGGGCCCGGGGCAGAAAGGGAGCGAGGGATCAGCCATCGGGCTCCGGCGGAGGGACAGAGGGTCTGCTGGGATCTTTTCTGAGGCCACACCAGTGCTGAGGTGACCCCCAACGTCCCAATGTCCCCAACCAGCTTCACTCCCTGTCCTCCTTGGAAGACTCCTCCATCTGGCTCTGCTCCCCAGGCCGACATGAGGCCTCTGCCTGACGAGCCTCCTCACTCGGTGCGGCCTGCCCGGGCCTTCTCCGTGGGCTCCCATCTGGGGCTTTGTCCTGAGTCCGTGTCCCGAGGCCTCAGGAGGGACAGAGGCTGCGGGGACTCACTTGGAGAGCACGTCCCTAGAAGTGACAGTGTCCCAGCCTGCGTCCAGGCTGAACTTTGACCCCCTTGGAGGCACCTTCCGGGCCTGTGAGCTGGGGCGGGCAGGCGGGTGCTACCAGGCACCTCTGGGGCACCGTCCTGGTGTCCGAAGTGCAGGAAGGAAGCCTTGGGGACCAGGGGTTTCCTTGCCTCCCCTTGGTGCAGCTGAGGGAACTGAGGCACGGGGTTGCCCAGGTCTGAGTGTGGAGCAGGATCCACCTCCCGATGCTGAATCCAGGCCCCCAGTCTACACAGCTGGTTGACTGGCCTCCCTCCCACACTTGGTGCTGGGACACGTGGGGAAGGAAACGCAGCCCCAGGCCTGGGGAGACGGCGGGAATTCCCAGCGTGGTGCTGGGCGATGCATGGGCCGGCCCAGGGCAGGGTGCCGCCCGTGGGGTGGCTGAGGCTGTGCGCTCTCCCCTACGTTGGCTCAGGGCAAGGGCGCACATCCACCTGGGGCAAAGTTCTCGGGTCCCCTGGAGGCGTCTGGAGGTCCCGGCCTCCACCCCATTATCTGAGAAGCTCCTGGTTCACGCCCACCATTGCCTTTGGGGTGACACACCCAGGTATGAAATTGGACCTTAAAGTTGGGTCCGCAGCCTCTCATTCCAGAGGCAGAAAGAACACTGCGGGCACTCCTACTGCGCCCAGCACGGGCACCAGCGGTGCGGGTGGCCCGTCACAGCTGCGCACGGAGCGCAGAGGGCCTCTGTGGTCTGTGGCCGGGGGCCCGGCATGCAGTCTAGACGCCTTCCTCAGGGCTGGACGCCAGCCTTGGCCCTCCCCTCCCCCGCTGCACGTGGCCCAAGCTCTGCCGAGGCCCCGGGAGGCCAGTCTGTTCACCGGCTGTGTTTTCCCTCCAGGCCAGCGAGGAAATGTAGTGGAGCCGCTGCGAGGCCCTGCCTGCCCGAGCTTGGTGTGAACAGCCCAGCCCAGACGTGCGGCCCGCCCTGGGCACCCCTGGGGCCACCCTCACCATGTCCAAGAAGGGCATGGGCACCCGAGGCAAGGGGGACAAGGCGGAGCTCCTCGCTGCTCTCCAGGCCGCCAACGAGGACCTGCGGGCCAAGCTCACTGACATCCAGATTGAGCTGCAGCAGGAGAAGGGCAAGGTGGGCCCCAAACCCCCACCCCGTGGCCCCTAAACACCCCCTTCCCTCTTCTCCACCCCCTCCCGGCCCTGGCGTCTGCCTGCCTGGTCCCAGGGTCCACAGGGACTCTCGGGGCCGCTGGGAAGGACAGACCGCTCTGGGAAGAGGGCAGCGGGGGCTGGGGGTATCGTGAGGTGGGGGACCGCCCTGGTTCAGTGCCTGGGCCAACGGGACGTCGGCCAGTGGCACCATCCTGGGAAATGTCCCCTGGATGGGCAGTAGGACGACAGCTGCAGGATGAAGGGCACAGTCTGAGTAAAGCGCTTCCAGGGGCCTCAGGAACGCGGGGGCCGCCCAGGGGAGAGGCGATGGCCTGGGGCAGGCCTGAGATGGCGCCACCCGGACGTCCAGCACTTGGGGTCCTCGAGGCCCACGCGGAAGGCGGGGCTTGTGCTGGGGGGAGTGCTGTTCTGGTCCCGGGACCGCCTGCTCCGTGCCAGGCCAGGCCTGGGTGGGAGGTGTCCCACTGACCCACTGTCCTCTCCACGTCAGAACCTCTGCCCTTGCCCCCACCAGAGGCCTTCTGGGAGTGTGGAGAGCGGGTGGGTCTGGAGGGGTCCTGCCCAGTGCAGAGCTCTTCTGGGAGGCCGTGGGGATGGGGAACCAGGTTGCTTGGGGCCAGATCTCTAACAGCTGTGTGACCCAACCTGGTTACAACCTGGTCCATGAGCCGCGGTAACCCCGTGAGGTTCAGATCCTGCGTGCATCAGTACAGTGACTGGACAGGCCCGCGCCCGGCGGTTTCCGTGCCGTCTGCAGGCTGAGTGTGGCCCGTGGTGGTCGCTCACCCTCCTGCCGGAGGTCCCCGCTCTGTAGAAAGGCGGCAGGAGCAGGACCGACGGTGCAGGGAGGAGCCCCGGGGATGGGCCTGCAGCTCCGATACCATAGGCTGCTGTCCCAGCGGCCACGTGGCCCCTCCCGTGGCCAGGCCTCCTTGGTGGGCCTGCGGGGGAGTCGGAGCCTATGGGGACACTGCTGGGACCAGGGAGTTAGGGAGCGTCGACACCAGCACTCGCTCCGGGCCAGGCGTTCCCCGAGAGGCCCAGACATGCGGCTTGGGGCGAGCCTGGGGCGAAGGTGCAAACACACCGTGGCCCAGGACGGAAGGTGCCCCGCGTGCCGCGTAGTCCTCGAGGTCGTCCCACACCGAGGTCGAGCCTCAGACCCGCACGGGGGTTGGCGCGGGGGCCAGGCCCTTCGTGAGAGCACTGTCCGGCCGGCGCTCAGAAGCACACGCGTGGACGCGGGGCCGTGGCGCTTGCTCACGCGCACACCCCGCACGTCAGGGAGGCACTGTGCTCCTGCGCCTGCGCTTTTAGCCAAGCCTGCCGCCCCGCAACGGCCTGGGGGTGGGGGCGCCGGGCGGGGCCGGGGTGCGGGCGCCGGGCGGGGGGCGGGGCGTGCGCTCCTGGTGCCTCCACAGCGCCCACAGCGGGCAGGGTTGGAGCTCGCATCCCCTCACTGCCCTGCGAGAGCCCGGGAGCTGGCGGCCGAGGTGCTACAGCCGGCGCCTTGCATTATTTCTGCTCCGGAAAGGTGGACCTCTTGGTACAAATTTCAGAGGGAAGGAAAGAAAAGGCCCTCGTCTGCGTTTGTGCTCTGGGTTCCCGGCCGCACAGCAGGTGCCCCGCGCGTGGCGCTGGGGCAGGTCTGAAGCTGCTCCCACAGCGGCCTGCCTGCGGCGTCTGGGCGGTTCCCAGCCTCGTGCGGCCGGTGCCGGGAGCGTCCGGGTCTGCACGGCTGAGGCCACGTGCAGGGGAGCTGGGTCCGAGAGCGCGCGTGTGCGTGCACGTGTGTGCGTGCGTGTGTCCAGGCGCGGCACTCCCAGACAGCCCAGTCACCTGGCTGAGACGACGGTGGGGGGGGTCCCCCAGCTCTTCTCTCTGCAGGGGTGAGGCTCCTGAGGCTGCGGTTTGCAGACTTGCTGCTCGGCAGAGCCTGTGACTCCTGTTAGAAATGGGGCTGCCAGACTCACCCTGGCCGGCGGGGCTCACCCTGCCCATGGGGCTCACCCTGGCTGGCAGGAGCCCTTCCCCGTGCACTCGAGGGGATGCTCTGAAGCCCACGGCCTTGGGCATCACGGCTCGGAGCCACCTTCCCTGCCGCCTCAGCCACTGGCTGCCCGCGTCCCCCATGGCTCTAGGCTGCGGTCAGCGTGGGGGCGCGGGGAACAGAGCCCAACGGCCCCACGAGCCCCACGAGCAAGGTGCCCGTCCCGGAGAGCTGGGTCTCCTCCATTCAGGAACATGTAGGTGGCGACAGGGTCATGGTTCTTCATCATCGTCTCCCCTTCCTGCCCTGTTGCTAGTCTGGAAGGTGGGAAGGAGCCGCCGAGGGCACCTTGGCCATTGAGACCCGGGGACGTTCTCTGAGCCTGAGCCTTCCCTCCCCCACCTCTGGGCTCCCACTGCTACTTCCAAGTCAGACCCGCACCTTCCCGCCAAGCATCATTAAAACATTCAAGTTTTTTTGTGTTTAAGTGTGTTCATGGGTGTGTTTGTGTGTGTATCTGTAGACGATACCCACCACCCAGAACCAACACAGGCCATTGTCCTTCGGGATTCAAATAGGAAAGTTCTAGACCCTCACAGACACGCTGTCGTTCCTGTCTCCTCCCGCATGGGGCTGGCCTCCAGGGACGGGCATGAGGAGAGCAGGCCCCAACGTGGGCTCAGGTCAGGGAGCTGCTTGGCTGTCTCTAGCACGCCGGTAGGCTCACGGTTTCTTTCTTTCTTTTTAAGACTTATGTAATTATCTGAGGCAGGGGGTGGGAGTGCAGGAGGAGAAGCAGTGGGAGAGGGAGAGACCAGCAGGTCCCCCCCCGCCCCGCTGAGCAGGGAGCCCTACTTGGGACTCGATCTCACGACTCTGAGATCATGACCTCAGCTGAAACCAAGAATCAAACGCTTAACTGTGCCACCCAGGCTCCCCCCAGGGTTCAGAGCGCCCGTCCCCACCGCCCCCCCGGGCCTTGAGCTGGGAGCAGGATAATCGGAGGGCAGAACGCCCCTCGGGCCAGCAGCCAGGTAGGTCAGTGAAACTCGCCTGCGATCCTGAGCCGGTGCCCCCCGCGGAGGGTCGGCAGCGCTCCATCTGCTCAGCCCAGCGCGACCCTCGCCACATGCCACACAAAGCTGCTGGTACTGGGGCCGTAGTCATGCCAACGTGGGGGATGGAAAACACGAATCCGAGAATCGTGATCGTCGACAGCTCTGTCCTTATCGATCCTGAAGTCTTTTATGTGCCACGGTTAACGTCACCGTTGCAACAGTGGGGGACAAATTTGCGTAACCAGATCTGGACCATGGGACTGATTTCTGTCTGGTTTTGGCACCTTCCAGATGCTTGGGGAGGAGGGCTGGATCTGGACCTCAGGCCGGAAGTCTGGGGACAGCCAGCAGGACCCGACCCACTCGCAGGCCCGGCTGGGTGGCAGGCGTGTGCCGGAGGCCGTGGCGTAGGTCACCCACCCTTGAGCAGGAATCCTCAGCACAGCCCGGAGCAGCGACACCACAGTTTGGGACTGTGACTTGCCGGGGTAGACGAGGTGCCCGGAAAGCGTGGGAACCTGCCGTGAGCTCAGCACCTCGGTTTTCAGGCAGCTGGTCAACCTCCTGTGGGGTACTTGGGGGGTTGACTTGACAGTAAAGAGCGAGACGCGTTAAATCGAAGAGGACTGTCCTGCAGCCGCCCTCGGTTGGGAGACTGAAGTGGGGCCATCTCTGGTGAAGAACCTTCCAGAAAGAGGGAGCTGGCCCCGCAGGGAGAGGAGCTCACATGGAAGGCCTCGCAGGAGCCGCGTGGAAATGAACTCAGCGTCCGTTAAGCAGAGCAGGGTGCTGGGGGCGTGAACGTGGACAGTGAGGTGAAAACAAGCCTGGTGCTGAAGGTCTCCCATCTCCACCACAGCGCCAAGGCCCCAGCTCCAGCCCAAACACGGAACAGCCCCCACGGCCGCACTCATGGGGTCCCGCCCCCACTGTGCCCCCCGCTCATGAACACCGCTGCGGCAGGCGAGACGGAATGGACACGACGGGCTTCCGCCTGCGCGAAGGACGCTGGCCTGCTTTAACTGGGAAGGAGTTTCTGGAACACGGGGTGCCTGTGTGACCGCCAGTCCGTGCCTCAGTGGAGGGAGACACTGAGGAACGGGAAGCAGGCGTCTGGGCGAGGTAAAGCCAGGCAAGAAGGCGTGGCGGCAGTGCTGCAATCAAGGAGGGCCTCTCAGAAGAGGTGGTCCAGGCCAGAGACCAGAATGACTGGACACAGCAGGCCAAGGCGGGTCTGTGGGAGCTCCTTTTGGACAGGGCTCACCTGATGCAGCGGCAGAAATGGTGGCCCCCAGGTTAGGCCACGGAGGGCCGTGTAGGTGGGGGTAGGAGGGGCCCGATAGTGTAGCGTGTGGACCAGGACATTGGCAGAACACAGGGGGTCCTAACGCAGATCAGGACCCACTAGGGGACCATGAGCTTACTGACAATTGTGCGGTGTCCTGGTCATGAGGTCGGGGTAGTTGTCACTGTAGGTCGTGCTGGAAAATGTGACGGTTGCAATCTTCCCCCGGTTAAGAAGGCCGTGGGGCGGGGAGGGACGGCAGGCCCTGCAGCCACCGCAGGTCCGGCACGCCCGCTGTGCTGGCCTGGCTCCGAGGGGAGCGGTGGCGTCTGCGTGACAACCGTGGAAGGTGTGGGAGTCGATAATGGGGAGTCATGTCCACATCCCCAAATCCCTGTTGTTTCCAAGCCTCCCATGGGGTAGGGTCTTCCCCTCCTGCAGGCCCAGAAACACGGAGTCCCCCTTGCAGGGTGCGGCAGGCTCCCGCGGCAGCTGCAAGCTTTTCCTCCTGGTCCGGCAAGACCCAGACAGCAATCTTCCCAGAAATACAGCCCCTTGGAACTTGGCAGACAAAACGGGGCAGGAAAGACCCAGAGCTGAACCAAATAGCGAGCCAGAGGGAAGATGCCTTCTCAGAGCCAGGACCTTGAGGAACCAGGACCAAGACAGGGTGTTCCAGAAACTGGCCTAACATGGGCAAAGGCCGCAAGCAGCTGACGTGGGAAGTAAGGGGTGCGCGTTCAGCTCCTCGAAGGAAGCCTCCCTGTCCGTCGGTCCGAGGTGGTGCCGCTGTTGGCTGGACCGGCGCCCTGACCAGTGGGGGACAGGCGGGCCTCACGCCTCCATAGCCCGTCTCTGGGGAGGACCCCGAATTAGAGAGAAAGGTCCTTTCCCGCAAAAAGCCAGCCTGCGTGGAGGTGCCCACGACCCCTGAAGCCGGGTCCCAGCGGCGCTGTTTGCCCATGTGATTTAAAATTCCATAAACCTCGAGCAAATGTGTGGACGGGTGTTCAAGAGCCCTAAACGTTCTGTGGCCCCGTAAAGGGTTATGGCTGCTTCCAAGCACACACGAGCGTGAAACGGCGTGCCAGGGCCCCTGGTGAGAGGAGACCCGGGGCTTGTGGCTGTGTGGCCGGTGGGTCGGGCCTGCCCCGCGCCGCGGTCTGAGCACAGGACCCCACCCGCAGGGCCCGGCTGGCGCCTGGGGGCTCCTTGCAGATGCGGTTCTGATCCCGTCGGGTGAGATCAGTGACGGGATCTCGGCTGCGGACACACAGCGCGTCCCAGGCCCTCACTCCTCGCACTGCAGCTGCGAAGACTCCGGGTGCCTCTATCTCCATTCTGTCTGGAGCAGGTTGGCGGGAGACCCGCTTCAGGGCGTCCCAGCCCAGCCCCTGTCGCTCTGCAGTTCCAGCAGATCGGTCCCTCTTAGGGACGTCCGGTCAGGAGTGCGGATGGCGGGCACCCGGTCCTATGAGCGCCTGCGTGGGTCAGGGGCCGGACGCAGGCCATCCTCATGGGGCTGTGGTCTGGCTTGAGGGTAGAAGTTGGCCTTGACCAAGGAGTGGACATGGTAGTGCCTGTCACCGTGGGCCCTGTGTGTCCACAGCAGTTCCAAGCCACTTGGATGGCCGGCTGGGGGGGAGGTCCTTTGGGGCCGGCGCCCCCTCCTCTGGGAAAGCCTGGCTCGGCCTGGGGTGGGACTTGGGGGTCAGGCGGGTTTTTGTGAGGACTGTGGGCAGCACTGAACATAGTTTCTTTCTGAACAAAACCTGAGGACGGCCAGGCCACGGGAGCCAACCACGCAGACAAGGCACAGCCATGACCAACTGGGAAGGGAGTGGGGAAAATGTGGGAAAACACCCGTTCTCAGGAATCTTACCGGCAGGAAGGGCGTGAACACAGCAGCTCCCAGGTTCTGAGGGTTCCGAGCGACTGCGTGTCTCACGTGTATAGAAGAGGAATGCGGGAATGTTCTCCCTTGCCGCCCCAGCTTCCTTGAGAACCAGGTTCTCCGTGTGGGGGGAGCGGAGGCACGGAAGCTGCCCCGGGAAGTCGAACAGAGGCCTGGGCTGGAGGTGGAAACCGCGCTGGCGATGGGAAGTGCCGGCAGGAAGCTCGAGGCATCTCCTCTCGCATACGCACGGGGAGGCCGTGTTTCTGTCCGCCGGGAGGCCAGCATCCGGGACCAGCCTGGGGCTGTGGCAGCCCCCGGGTCCTGCTGGGACGCCGAAATAGCACTCCCCCTTGAAAGAAGTCAGGGTGCCTGGGGCACAGGCTGGGCAGGCGGTGAGCCACAGGATTGCCCGACCTGCGGAGAGCCTGGGACAGCCAGGGTCACGGTGCGTCCGAAGGCTTCGGGGCTGGCTCGAGCTGGCCACAAACGGACGCTCTGAGCCTCAGTGGGATGAGAGCAGCGGCGAACCGAACCCCGCCAGCCCTGCTCACACCCACACGTTCCTGATGAAACAAGTGATTGGGCTCCTGCCAGGCCAACGAGGAGCCCGGTCCCTTGAAACTGGGTCAATGGAAGGAATGAACCGGAAGGGTGACCTGCCCCTCACAGGCGGCCCATCGTTTGGCGCGGAGACCCCCCCCAGATGCAGAAACCGCTCAGCCCGCGACGTCTGGGAAGGCAAAGCTGTGGCCCCACGAGCCAAGAGTCAAGAGCGCCACCGCTAAGCCACCAGCCGCCACGTCAGCCGGACATTGATGAGGTCCTGGGAGGCCGCGGTCTGTGGCAGAGGCAGCTGCGGATCTCAGGGAAACATTGCTACCTGCTACCTCGGCAGGACCATCTCCTTAGCTTTCAAAGCTGTGTGTGTTTCCGGGACAGATCGGAGTCGCCCAGAACCAGTGGGACTCAGCGGGCAGGCCACGGCATATCTCCAGTTTTCGGTGCTCGTCTGGGGACAGGAGCCTGGGACGCCTCCTGCCCATCGCCTCTCCGCGGCCTGTGTGCTCGGGGCCGCAGGCCACATCCCCGCCTTCGCACATCTCCGGCCCAGGGAGCCGTGCGGTGGAGCCCACAGCACATGGGGAGGAATTCACGGGCCCCGTGGATGGAGCGTCAGGGGAAAGCCCACTGTTGGAGACCTGAGGGGGCGGAAGGCCGAGGCAGGGACCGAGGGCATCTCTGGGGCACCCTCGGAGCCCAAGGAAGCAGCAGGGCTGGTCTTCCCATCCAGTGTGTCTTGCTCGGAATTGCAGTGAGAGCCTGTGTCTCCTGGGAGCGCCGTGTGCTTGCTTGTGCACTTTCTTTGGTAACTGTGAGGGCTGTAGCGGAGGACCCGGGCTCCGAAGGGGTCCCCGGCCACGGTCTGCTGCGTCTGAGCCCGCTGCTCCAACCTGCTCACGGCTCGCTGGAACGTACAGGGCCGGGCACTTGGCGTGGGTCTGGGTTTTCACCAGGCCCTTCCCGCATGCAGCAGGGACAGTCACAGGCACTGGACAGAAGGGCAAGTACGTTGCAGGTGTGGGTGCCGTTGTCTCTGAATCAGCTTAGAGCACAGTGAGAGCCAGACCCTGCAGGGCTCTGAGCATCCCCCTCCACCAGCTTCCTGCTGCGACAAACTCCAGCTCTGTGACCACCCGTGACCACCACCCGTGACCACCACCATGACCACCACCCATGACCACCACCCGCGACCACCACCCGTGACCACCGCCCACGACCACCACCCGCGACCACCACCCGTGACCACCACCCATGACCACACTGCTCTTCCCTCTGCTGATGCCCATGCAAGAGGCCGGCTGGCTCCCTTATGTCCGGCCGCGAGCCCCCGACACCACCGAGGTACTGAAATGGCTCGGGAGTGGCCCCCTTGAGAGCACAGATTGCTGATTGCCCCCCACACAGCTGAGAAGACCATTGACATCTTCGCCTTGAACTGGAGAAGGGCAGCACACCTCCAGTGGGAATGGAGCAAGCCCTCGCACTAGGCTTCAGCAACGGCCCCTTCTCTGGCGGGAACCCGGACGGCCAGGCAGGTACTTGCTCGGTCCTGCCAGCACCCAGAGGCCTGCAAGGCTGGGACAGAGTTCGGTCACTAGAATTGGTGCAGCACTGCGGGGTCTGAGCCATCCCGAGGGCAGCTCAGGGTGGACCCCACTGCGCACTGGGCCACCAGGCGGGAGCCCCAGCTGCGTGCGTCCGGTCACATGCATGTCCTGATGGGGAAGTAAGCGTACTATGGGTGTGGGGCATGTAGCCTCCCGGTCTGCGTGCATCCCGGGGAAGCTTGCTCTGACACGGGAGGGACTCCACGGTCCTGGAGAGAGGGATGAATAAGGCACCAGGGGGCGTGCTGTGAGAAGGGGGCGCAGAGTGGCGGGTCGGCGCGCGGAATTAGGGCTCGGCCTCTGGGGGCTGCAGGACACGGTCTGGGGGATGGGCAGTGGGCCTGCCCAAGGTGGAAGGTCAGAGCTTGTCACCCTGGGGAAAAGAACCCAGAGTTGTGAGCTGGGGTGCCAGGGTCCGTGACGGGGTGGGGCTGGAACTTCCCAGGTGGCATAGTGGTTTTGTCTGCTCGCGGAGGCGCCCCGGCTCTGCCTTTGCCCTGAACGCCCACAAAGCAGAAAAGGGGATTGGGCCACCCGTCCGCACGTGCGAACGCTTCCTCCTGTGGACGGTGGATGGTGGGAGGGTGGGAGGGGAGCTGAAGCCGTAGCTGTCTAAGTGGGGAGCAGGGGCTCCCGCTCTGAAGCTGGGCTTGGGGTCCACAGGAGAGAAGGAGGGGCTCAAGGATGCTGGCCCTGCACGAGGTGCCGCAGAGCACGGAGGCTGGGGCAGAAGCAAAACACCAGCCACAGCGGGACCCGGGGCAGGTCAGCCGCTGCCTCACCCCATGCTAGGTCCTGAGCCCCGGCTTCCTGCCGCGTGTGGGTGGTGTGGCCCCTGAGCCAAGACTGACGTTCTAGATGAAAACAAGAGATTCAGTCAAAAATCTGAGCATTTCCAAAATCTAGACAGACCGGTGGCCTCAAGTCGCCTCCCCGTCGGCCAAGAACATCGCAGGAGGTAAGTGCAGCGCCCTGTCCTCTGGGCCGGAGGCCCGTGCCCACGCGCGTCCCGTACCTTCTTCCTGGCGGCTCATGGGCGAGGTGGCCGCTGGGCGTTTGCAGCGCGGCCGGGCCTGGCGGGGGGTAGGCAGCGGAGCGGGTCCGTGTGGACCCACGTGTCTGTGACCTTCCTTTCCAGGCTCACGGTGCTTCCAGCCTCCGGCTCCCGAGGACGCCTGGCACGCTCTCCACCCGCCCGGCTCGTCCGTGAGGAGGCGTCTCGGGGGGGAGATAGTTCCCAGCCGTGCGGGGAGGAGCACAGAACTCCCGCCGCGAGCCCCGGACGTACACGGGCCGGGACGCGAGCAGCAGGCGGTGGCGCTCCTGTCTTTCAGGTGAGCCGGGTGGAGAGGGAGAAGAACCAGGAGCTGCGGCAGGTGCGGGAGCACGAGCAGCACAAGAACGCGGTGCTGCTCACCGAGCTCAAGACCAAGCTGCACGAGGAGAAGATGAAGGAGCTGCAGGCCGTGCGGGAGGCGCTGCTGCGGCAGCACGAGGCCGAGCTGCTGAGGGTCGTCAAGGTCAAGGACAACGAGAACCAGCGGCTGCAGGCCCTGCTGCACGCCCTGCGGGACGGCGCCCCCGACAAGGCCAAGGTCGTGCTGCTGTCGGAGGCGAAGGAGGAGGCCAAGAAGGGGTTCGAGGCGGAGAAGATGAAGATGCAGCAGGAGATCTCGGAGCTCAAGGGGGCCAAGAAGCAGGTGGAGGAGGCGCTGACCATCGTGGTCCAGGCCGACAAGATCAAGGCGGCGGAGATCCGCAGCGTGTACCATCTCCACCAGGAGGAGATCTCCCGCATCAAGAAGGAGTGCGAGCGGGAGATCCGCAGGCTGGTATGTGCTCCCGGGGCACGGGGCGCGGGGAGGGGCACGTGGGACGTGGGCGTGAGCACCGGGTCCAGAGAGGTGAAGGTCACGGCCCTCGGGGGCCGTCTTGGTGTCAGTGCCATGTGGGGAGGCACCCTCTGTGTCTGGACCAGGGGGAGTCAGCGTCTTGTCCGGTCAGGAGTGGCCGGATTCCGGCAGCTTCCCTGGGGCGTCGGGATGGCTCCAGACACCCGCTGTCCGTGGCTGGCGCCCCGAGAGTCGACGTCCTCAGAGACCCAGAGCAAGAAGTGAAAGAGAATATTCAGGGACGGGAGGGCCTGTGCTTGACTGTCCTCATCCCTTGGAGCTTGACCTCCTTGGTATTTGGGGGAAACGGAGCTCGACCTTAGAGCCCCATGTCCCCTGTCATGGGCTGGGGACGAGCTGGCTTTGCTGCTGGTCACACTCAGGACCCCTGGGATCCCCTGAACAGGATGCCACAATCTCTCCAAGCAGCTCGGCCGGGCACCTCTCCCTCCTTCCCTGGGCTCCACTTTCTGAAGACTGCCCCGGGCCGTGCTGCCATGTTGTACTTCCCAAAAGGGGTACAGCCGCTCTCTAGACCCGAGGCCCAAGGGGGAACGCAAGCCTTGCGAGCTGAACACAGCTCTGCGGCCATGTGTACATGGGGGCCCAAACACTCCCAGCCTGGACAGCCGCCCTCCTTTCCCGGGCTGTCCCCCACTCTGTGCCCCCGACAACTCTAAGCCATGCGTCAGTGCCACCGTGAGCCACCAAGACCCCGTGGGAAGTGTGGGCTTCCTTACGCGACAGGACGGTCCCTCCTGTCTTCTTCTGCCCGGGAAAGGGAGGACACCAGTGACCATCTAGACGAAGGTGGGACAGGACGGTCAGTGCCCACTGTCTGTCTGCAGGCCTGTGGCCCGTCTCCTCAGCTGGGCGCCTGTAACACAACCAGACGGTCCCTGTGGTGCCCACCGCCCCCCTCCCCCCGGCATGGACGCTCCCAGGGGCAGCTGCAGCCAGCTCTTTTAGCTGATTCTTCTGAATTTTGTGCCAAATTCTCAAAAACATGCTTATATTTCTAAATTTTTAAAAGATTTTATTTATTTATTTATTTATTTATTTAGTCAGGGAGAGAGAGCAAGCGTGAGCACAAGCAGGCAGAGAGGCAGAGGCGGAGAGAGAAGCAGGCTCCCCGCTGAGCAAGGATCCCGATGCGGGACTTGATCCGGGGACCCTGGGATCATGACCTGAGCCGAAGGCCGACGCTTAACCCACTGAGCCACCCAGGCGCCCACAAAGCTCTACTTCTTGATATCTCAGTTTTTGCTCCCCCTTTGCCTGCCCTGGCCCCCTGGCCCCCTTCCCCTCTGCTCCTAAGTTGTCCGGGTGGTTCTTCACAGGAGGACTCGGCTTCTGTGAGCGAGGGGCCGATTCAGGAAGGTGTGGGCACTGTCAGGGGAGACCTGTCTGGTGGCGACCCCCGGCAGGTGCTCACTGAGGCCCCGGAGGAGGGGCGGGTGACGGCCCGGGACAGCAGGGTGTCCCCTGGGGGGCAGGGCCCAGCCATGGCCGATTCAGCCCAGCCGGGGAGGTGGGAGCACAGGGCCAGCGTCCTGGGCCCAGAGCCCAGGGTATTCAGGGACACGAGAAGGCCCCACGGGACACTCGAGTGAAATCTAGTATTGACAAGACGGCTGCCGTGTGCGCGTTCCTCACACAAGACCCACAGCGCCCCGCGGCCCTGTCACCGTATCGTATGCACTTCCCTTTGCCGAGGAGTTCGTCTTCTCATTTGCTTGTTTCTCTACGTGCCTATTTGTGATTCAGCCCTGAATTCCCGGGAGGGCATCTGTGCCCCGAGCACAGTCACGCATTTCCCTCGTTCCCGAGATGTCCCCCCTGGAGCCCCCCGCCTGCCCTCGGGCCTGCCTTCCCCCGACCCCGGCCACTAGCCTGACCTCTTGGCCTCCTGGGAGCCCCCGCCCGCTCCTGGGCTCCGTCCTCCCACGTCCTCCTCTTTGCTGACGTGTGGTTCCCGCTTCCGCCGGAACGCGGGCTCCAGCGGCGTCCCGGACCCTGAGCGCCGAGAGAACTTGCGGAGACTGTGTGTGTTTTGTACGAGACTTTGATTCCGCTCTCACGCTCGGTGCTTCCGGGTCGGGGACTGTGGGGCGGAGAAGTTTTCCATCAGGAATTCGAGGGCATCTCTGCGTTGTCTTTTAACTTCCGGCATGGCCACGACAAGCTGGAGGCCGCCGTGGCTCCTGACCTTCCCCGATCCGCGGGCCCCCACGGAGCCGCGTGGGGCTCACGGGCAGACGGGCTGTAGGAGGTTCTGCTCGGGTCGGGGCCTCTCTTTGTTTTCTTTCCCCTCCCAGGAACTGGAGTCAGGGCAAGAAGGCGGAACAATGGCACCAAACACAGCAGGTTGGAAAGGAAGGTGTAAAGCTGTCTTTTTTGCAGGTGCTGTGCCTGTAGGAAACCCTAAGCAATTCACCCCAAAACCCCAGAACCATTAAAAGAGTTCTGCACGTTTTCAGGATCAAGATCAAAATGCAAAGATTGGTTGTATTTTTATTCACGAGCGACAAACAGTCCAGAACAAATTTGTTTTTAAGATTTTATTTGTTTGAGAAAGAGAGAGAGAGCACGAGTGGAGAGAGGGGCAGAGGGAAAGGGAGAAGCAGACACCCCGTGGAGTGTGGAGCCTGAGGACAAGGGGCTCAATCCCAGGACCTGGAGATCACGACCTGAGCCTCAGTCAAGAGTGGGACGTTCGGTTGACGGAGACACCCAGGAGCCCACTAGGGTATTTTACACGCAGGTTCCCAGCCCCCAGTAGGGTATGTTACACGCAGGTTCCCAGGCCCCAGTAGGGTATGTTACACGCAGGTTCCCAGCCCCCAGTAGGGTATGTTACACGCAGGTTCCCAGGCCCCACTAGGGTATGTAACACGCAGATTCCCAGGCACCCCATGTAGTGGTTCTCGTTCTGTGCGCTGCGCAGAGCCTGCTCTGGACGGCAGGGGCGAGTCAGGGTGTGCAGAATGTCCTCGCCCCTCCACAAGGGCCATTCTTCCGTCCTCAGCATCCTTCCCTGGGGACCAACCACCCCAAGGGCTGCCTCGGTTTCCGTCACCTTCTGTAACTGGGAAAGGTGGAGGGGATGGGCATGGGGGTGCTAAAGGGGGCGGGAGTGAAGGGTGTGTGTGCTGGAGAAGAAGGGGTGAGGGGGAGCTCCCAGGGGTGGAGGTTTGGGGCGGGGGCTGCTATGGGGGAGGGGCAGGGGGGTGTAGGAGCTCCCAGGGGTGAGGGGGTATGGGTGTGCTGTGGGGGAGGAGAGGGAAGTTGGGGAGCTGGGGGTGTGGGTCTGGGACTACAGGGGGGTTGGGGCAGCTCGTCTGGAAGCTGGCCAGGCCCAGTCAGGATTTGGGATCTTCCCTTGAAACTTTGGGAGTGACGCCACCGGACTCCGTTTTCAGCGAGGACAGTGGTTGTGAGGGACGGGCTGTAGCAGGCACAGGCGTGCACACAGGGAGGCCACTACAGAGGTCTGGGAGAGAGAAGGTGGCGGCAGGGTGACCGGAGGCTCCTGACTCACGCCCCCATTTCACCGGAGAGCCCTTGTCCTGTCCCTTGGGAGAGCTGGTCATCTGGGTGTTCGCGGTTACATAAGACGGGGACAGATGACGTCCCCAGGTGCTCTCTGCAGAAAGAGAACCCACGGGCCTCTGGCAGGGAAAGGGGGTGCTGGGCCGCAAGGCAGCGGGACTGAAGCCCCCAGTGCCATGCTGCCCGCCACTGCTTCCCCGGCCGGCCTGGGCATCATATGAGGACATGTGCCACAGTTGGAAGCAGTGCCTTGTAGACCTGGGGGCCCCACGGGACCTGACAGAGTTTTCTCTCCACCTCATGAGCCAGCGTGTCCCCCCTTCCAGGTGGGCATTCGGGTGGGAACCGCAGGGTCCTGTGGGGCGTCTGCTGCCCATGGACACTGATGGACACCAACGCTGCTGTGTGCCGAGCCCCCCGGCGTTAGGAGGACCCCCTAGGACACTGTCTCTGAACTCGGAGTGACTTCCCACCCTGGCGATCAAATCCCACCCCTGTGTGAAGGCGCCTGTCCTTGAATTTCCTCTGTGGGCCTGTCACCCTGCTCTGCCGCAGCACGTGGTATAGTCGGGAGGCCCCTTAGGGAGGTTTGCCTTTCGGTGGAAGCCGTCTGCTTACGGAGCTCATTTCAGTGGGATCTTTGTGTCGGGACTCATTTCCTGGGGTCCTGACGAAAGAATAATGATGTTTTCTAAGTGTCGCGTATGAGTGTCGTTAGAAGAAGAAGAAGTTAGAAGCAGAACACGGCTGCTTAGTGATACAACTATATTTCCCTGGTCACTTTGTTTTCACTAATTCAGTGTGTTTCTCTGTGCTCCAGTAAATGGGAATTTAGCAATTAAGGATTTCTTTTATTCTATTCAGTTCATCGCTTTCCTGCAAAACTATGATCCGGGCTAATGAGACATCTCACGTCTCTGCTCCAAGCTGACCTCAGCAGATGGCCGGTTCATGAGCTTAGTTAGCCTTTAACGGCAAGCGAAGCACGAAGATATCCCATCCTGTTCCGTTGTTTGCAAATTTGTTTTAAACTGAGTCGTTTCATAAATCGAGAACCGTTTGTAAGGACCCCTTGCCGCGCCCCAGTCCGTCAGTCTGTCTGTCTGAAGAAGCGGGGGTGGGGTGTGTTTGCCTCCCCACGGGGAGCGGCCCATCCCACAGCGGCCAGTTGAGGGGCCTGGAGACAGGTGGCAGCCGCGTGCCGAGAGCCTTCTCGCTGCTGTCAGGAGGCCGAGCGCTTCAGGGAGACTGGGGAGGGCCGCGGACCCTCACGGCCACTCGCCTGCTGGCCTGAAGAGGCCTGGGTGGGCCAGACACTCCTGACTTCCAGTCTGGAGCTGACTTGTCCGGAGACCCCCTCCTCCATGCCTTAGCTCAAAGCAAGATGAACTAAAAATGCAGCATTGCCTGCAAGCAGTCGGGCAGCACCTCGGTCTATCCACGCCTCGGGGCAAGGAGAGGCAGGGTGCAGAAGGACCAGAACGTCGGCTCTTTCTGGCCGGGGTGCCCCTCAGAGAGGAGAGGGAAGAGGCAGCGAGAAACTTCCGCTTCTCATACCCTCAACTGCCCTGTTGGAGGACGGACCTTGCTCCTCACGTCTCCTATGGATGGGGTCCCAGGAACTCGGCGATTCCCCGGCCCTGCCCAACACACGGCAGAAGGCAGGAGCTAGAGGGGGCTTCTGCGGACCTGCCAGCCAATGCCAGCCCCCAGGAGCCCCCGCAGTCCAGTGCCGCAGGGGGTGGGACACTGGGAGGGGTGCCCGGAGTCCAGAAGGAGACTCAGCAGCTGCACCAGCTTGAACTGGACTAGCAGAGCAGAGGCCGGCCCAGCCGGGGGTGGGATGGGGGGAGTCACACCTCGGCCGGAGCAGTGGGGCTGTGCTGCGGCACCTGCTTTGCATCCCGTCGCGGAGCCCAGAGACACATGGGCAGGGCCGCTGCGGTGGGGACCCTCCTGGCGCTGGCTCCGAGTGCCGCTGTCTGTGTCTATGGTAACTGCGGACCTGTACCCTGCCTGCCTGTGTGATTGTGTTCTGTTCTCCTTGTAGATGGAGGAGATAAAATTTAAAGACAGAGCAGTCTTCGTGCTGGAGAGAGAGTTAGGGGTTCAAGCCGGGCATGCTCAGAGACTGCAGCTCCAAAAAGAGGCTCTAGATGAGCAGCTGTCCCAGGTCAAAGAGGCTGATCGGCACCTGGGCAGCCCCAGACGGGAGCTTCCTCATGCAGGCGGTGCAGGAGACGCCTCAGACCACTCGGGAAGCCCTGTAAGCACCTCCCCACGCTCCCCCGTGACCCAGAGTCACAGACAGCGCTGTGCGCGGCTCTGCGGGCCTGCTCGGGCGGCTCCCCAGGGAGTTGAGAGCCTAGGTCCAGAGTTCAGAACCCCCCGCCTCGGGCACGCTGTGTCTGCAGCCCACCAGCCGGACCCCAGACCCCCCGCTTCTCCGGCTTGGCTGGGCGGGCAGACACACTTCTGCCTCCTTGCTTCCTGGCTGGCGTGGCACAGCACTGGCCCTCACTCGACCACCCGCCCCCCATGGTCCCCCGAGGCCTCCGGCTGGAGCCTGCCTGCAGCTGCCAGGCCCCCAGGCAGCTAACAGTCCTTGCTTGCTGGTCCCGGTTCCCGCCCCAGCAAGAGGGACGAGGCTGCACCATCTCCATCTCCATGTGCACGGGCTCCTGGCTCTCCATTCGCCCGCACTCCTGCCCGTCACCCCCACCCGCTTTTTGTGTGACCATGTCACCCTTTTGCTCTTCTTCAGGCTGCCGAGATAGCGTGGGGTGGGGGCAGCCCACAGCCGCACGGCTGTGACATCATCACTGCTCACTGCTGCTCCTGATTCAGAGCCCGCTGGAGTGGTTCTTGGCATTCCGGGGTGGGGGGCTCTAAGTTCCGTGGACGCTCAGTGCAGGTCCTGCGGGCCCACCCCTAGCCTCTCCTGCACCTGCTGAATGAGGAACCGTTCCTCTGTCCTCCCCGGACATGCCTTTGTTTGCTCTGAGGACAAACTGTTTGAGCTGAGCCAGCCCGAGGACAATGACATTTCAAGAATAGAACATGATTTTTTTTTAATAATTTTATTATAAATCGCTTAACTGAATTGAATCTTGCTCTGCCACTCGATGGATTGTGTGAACTCCAGAGAGACTCTGAAACTGGATCAGAATGTTTTGATTGATTTTTGAATGAGGTTCCAGAGGTTTCAAAAGTGACCTCGTAGAACCTCAGTGTGAGGGAGCACGCGTCCTGGGAAGCCATCTTTGCAAAGTCTCAGGCTGAACATCTCCTCCTGTGCTCACACGATCATACGAGGGAAGCTGCGATCCCGCCTCCCGCACACACAGGCCCTCCCGACAGGGGCAGCCCTCGGCAGCCCCAAGGGAGGCTGCAGCACCCGCCCACACCCGCGTGCCCGCCTTTGCACGCCCTTGCCTTCCACTGCATATCCCGGACATCCTGCTCCTTCGCTCTGCCCCCACTGTGTGGTCCGCGGTGGCCACAGTGGTCAGCAGCGGTCCCCTGCCCCTGGGGGGGTCTGTCCCCACCCACCTGCCATGTACGATCATGGGCCGTCATGGCACAGAACTGCTTTGTTCTCCGTGGTGACTGGGATCTGCAGAGGTTTCTGCGCGTGTGTCTGCGAACAGTTGTTTGCAGTTGATTTTTGTTTTAGGAACAGCAGTTGGATGAAAAAGACGCTCGGCGCTTCCAGCTTAAGATCGCGGAGCTGAGTGCGATCATCCGGAAGCTGGAGGACCGAAACGCCTTGCTTTCGGAGGAAAGGAATGAGCTGGTGAGTGGCAGTGGGGCAGGGCCACGGGGTATCTGTGTCCCCTGGGTCTGTGGCTGCTGAGGGGGCAGGTGCCCCCTTTCCTTGTGGAAAGGAGTGATGGTGCCAAGGACAGGGCTTGCATACAGGCCTCTCAGCTGTTTCAATAAAGCTTTATGAACAAAACCTGGTTGAGGGGCCACATGTGGGCCTTGGGCGCCAGTTGGTTGATCCCTGCTCCATATTATTGAGCAAAAGTACCATCCGTCCCATGAGTTCCCTGGGACGAGCGAGGCCCGTCCCTCTCTGGGGAGCCATCACGATTATGGCTAACGGGCACTGGAATTTCCAGGTGGCCCGTGTCTGAGTGGGGGCTCCTCCAAGGGCCCTGAAGGGTCATGTGCCAGGTGAGGCTCCTGTGGCTCTTACTGGCAAAATAGAGGCTTGGCCCCGAGACGGCGTGGCTGGAGCCAAAGCTGTTCTGGTCAGTTTGCCGTCTCCGTAGGGTCTGTTGGTTCCATGTCACACTTACAGTCACGCCGTGTGATTAATTTTGTGTTTCAGTTAAAGCGCTTGAGGGAAGCGGAGAGTCAGTACAAGCCACTGCTGGATAAGAACAAGCGACTTACCCGGAAGAATGAGGATCTGTCCCATACTCTGCGGCGGATGGAAAACAAGTTAAAATTTGTCACCCAGGAGAACATAGAAATGGTAAGGGGCCCTGCCTGGTGCGGTGGGCCGGGAGGGTGCTCACGCCCCGGCTCTGGTGTCAGACAGGGCAGCGAGGGGGTCACAGACAGGGCAGCGGAATCCACCGGGCTGGCTGGGAGAGGAGGCGGTAGGTGAGGGTGTGAGCGTGGAGGGACAAGGCTGTGGGCACCTGCCTGAGCACGACCCGGTGGGGAGGTCACCGAGCAGGTCAGCCCCAGGCCTGCCGCGGGTGGAACACCAGGAGTTCCTCGGCCTCTGCTGACTCTGAAAATCTAGGGCTCAGGTGGGAGGAGCCCCGGGACACCTGTGTGGAGCGGCTGCGGCTGCAGACCAGCGCGGCGCAGGCCGGAGCTGCCGGAGGGCCCAGTCGTGCAGTGGGGGATGGTTAGCCGGTGTCTCCTCGGTCCCTTCTTAGTTTAGCCGGCCCTTCACCGCGGTTGGGGGTGGGGGAAGGCCGGGGTGCACCCCCTCCCCGCACCCGGCTGCAGAAATGCCTCCTTCCCGCGCTCAGCTCGGAAGCGGCGGGGTGCGCGGGGGCAGGCCGCTCACGCCGCCGCCTCGTCCCGGGACGCAGACTCCCCCCGAACCCTGCCGCCGGCCGCCCCGGCCCGAGCGGAGGCGCGCCTGGCCCCCGGAGGACCGGGAGGCGCGGCTGCGCGTCGCGAGCCCCGCTGGCAGGGAGGACCCGCTCGGGCCGCCGACCACCCCTCAGCCCGCCCCGCGTGACCGGGCCTGGCTGGCTTTGCAGCGGCAGAGGGCCGGCATCATCAGGAGGCCCAGCTCCCTGAACGACCTGGACCAAAGCCAGGACGAAAGAGAAGTGGACTTCCTGAAGCTGCAGATCGTGGAGCAGCAGAACCTCATAGACGAGCTTTCCAAGGTGCCCGCGCTCGTCGGGCCTCGGCCCTCCCGCCCTCGGCCACGCCCCTCCCGCCCTCGGCCACGCCCTCCCGCCCACGGCCACGCCCTCCTCCCGTCTACCTCGGCCTTGACCCGCCCCTCTCGCCCGCCCCTCCCCTCGACCGTCGGCCCCTCCCCTCCTCGCGCCCCTGAGCTCGCGTCACTCTCGGTCCGTCCTCTCCCACCCATGGGCCCTTCGCTCCCGTCTCTCTCAGCCCCTCCCCTCTCCTGCCTCGGCCCCGCCCC